CCTTCAAGGTACTAAAGACTTAGGACTGTTTTACACTAACCAAAACAAGGATGGACTAGTTGGTTTTGCTGATGCAGGTTATCAATCAGATCCGCACAATGCCAAGTCTCAAACTGGTTATGTGTTCACGCATGGAGGAACAGCTATCTCTTGGAGATCGATAAAGCAGACAATCACTACCACTTCATCAAACCATGCAGAACTTTTGGCCATTCACGAAGCCAGCAGAGAATGTGTTTGGCTACGATCCATGACTCAGCACATCCGATCAGATTGTGGTATGAAAGAAGATAAGGAGCCCACGGTTATGTTTGAAGACAACGCGGCTTGCATTGCTCAACTCAAGGAAGGTTATATCAAAGGAGATCGGACGAAGCACATACTACCGAAATTCTTCTCAACCTCGGATTGGCAAAAGGATGGTACGATCAGCGTTCAACAGGTCCGATCATGCGATAACTCCGCCGACCTTTTCACCAAATCATTGCCCGCTTCAACACTCCGGAAGCTCATCCAAAAAATAGGAATGCGTAGACTTAGAGATCTACGGTGATGCTCTAATTAGGGGGAGTAATGCGTGTTGTACTCTTTTTCCTTCACCATGGTTTTTCCCACTGGGTTTTCCTGGTAAGGTTTTAATGAGGCAACATTCCCCAGCGTATTATCGAGATCCCGATTGACCATCAGGTCCGGTTACTCCGTCCAAGGGGGAGTGTTATAATACATCATATTGGACTTATAACCGGGCCCAATAAGCCCATCAGGGTTATTCATTATGTACTCTAAAACCCTAGGTTTATATGCCTATATATATGTATCATTATTCATGGAATGGAATGAGAGAACAATAAGTTTCACAACAAAAAGAGCTATATATGAAGTTTTTTTTTTTGTGTGCAAAAGATCTATATATGAAGTATGAACTAAAAGATCGAAAAAATTTGATTATTATTTGAACACTTTGAAAAAAAATCACCTTTTTCGTTTATTATAATAATCAAAAGCTTGAAAACGTTTTGATATATGTGGAAACCAAATTATCTTATTTATCCGACGAAAAATCTCAAAGATGAAGAATGAATTTCATTACGAAAAAAACAAACTATAGTTACACGTAAAAAATGATCAAACATAATTTCTCAAGATCTTTGTTCTCACGGAAACAGGAGTAGAGACGTTATGAACTCCATCAGTCCAACACAAGCTCCCAAAATAGTAATCAGTGTTCACTCTATGACTCGTTTTCACTCTCACACTAAACGTAATCTTCGTTATGTTGGAACCAAACACAAGTGTCTTCGGATTCACGTCAAGCTCGATACCAAAAGGAGACTCAATCACGGGTCTGTAGACTGAACTGGCCGGTCCAACATTTGTCACGGTTCTAGTCACAGTGACCTCTCCAGTGAGACTTGGGATTGTGATCGAAGGCAAGTTGAAGTCGAGCATCGATGGCTTTGGATAAGTGCATTTGTATGTTTTACCAAGTAGTTTGGAAATGGATGCATTGTCATATTCCGCAGAACAAAGGTAATGAAGATAGTCATCGATACCCATGTCGTAGATGAGGCCCGGGTCTGTTACTTTCTCCGGGTTGATCAAACCACCTCCATAGTCAAATGGGTCAGCAAGTTTACGCGTTGATCCCTCTGAAAATATTGGCTCTCCAGATGGATCGGTCTTCCATGCTGCATTTCGATTAAAGGAAACAACATAGAAAGTAAAGATGTTTAGAGCCTCTTTTAAACAAAAAAAATTGAAACATAATTTTTGAAAAATAAGAGATATGTTTGATTAAAAACCTAGCCCGAATCAAAACCGTACCAAAATGTATTATGCAGTTTCGATTTTGTAACATTTTTTCGAAAGCCGAATAACCTCAGCTGAAGCCGGATTCATACCAAACTGATTCATAATAGATTCTATTGACTCCTATAATTTTATTTCTTTCTAAACCCGCAATTATATAACTCGAACTCAAATCGATCTAAAATCCGGATTAAACACTCTTTATTTTGGCCTTTTGGGTATATAGTTTTAAAGTAAGAAAGAACCTGTTGTGACAAGAGCGGATCGGATTGCAGCTGGAGACCAGTCAGGGCGGGTTTGTCTTAGTAATCCAACAATTCCCGACACAACAGGAGTCGCCATTGAGGTTCCCGACATGAACTTATACACACCAGTTACTGCAGAAAGAACATTAACACCCGGTGCTGCTATGTCTGGCTGCATTATTATATAACAAAGTCCCAAATTTCATCAACACTTGGATCAATATGTTTGGAAAAAAAACAACAACAATAGGAAAAAAAAAAGTGAATTACTAAACAAACCTTAAGAATTGCTGGTGAAACTGAATTAGGCCCTCTACAAGAGAAACGAGGCACTCTAGATGCAATAGGCCGGCCAATGAGTGTCTTGGAAGGGCTTATTTTTGCTTTAGGCACACTACAGAATCAAAATGTGTTAGGACCAAAAAAAAAAAAGCTATGACCATAATTAAAGAAAGTTGGTGAAGATTTATTACTCTGTGGTCTGAATATAGTATAAGATGTCAGTTCCGTATTCGTAATCTACCACGGCGCAAGGAACATGGACGTCACTGCAAACCGTAGGATCAATAACAGATTGTGCATAGATTATACCAGCACATCCAGCTCTTACTATGGTATTCGCCTTTCTTATCGCGTCATCGTTTGGCGTAAACGCTAGCACAATAGTCCCTTGAGTTTGCCCCTGTTCGATAGAGGCGCTCATCATTTCATCTGATAATATAAGATCAGTAAATCCAGCTTCTGGGAATGTGTTTAAACCTTCACCCTGAAAACAGTCAAAGAGAACAAAGAATCACATTAATCTAGCCGGAACGTCTTGCTTAACCATAAAAAAAATGAATCAAAAGGTTTGATCATACGAGAATAGTTAGATTGTTTCCAAGAGTGATTGGTATGGGGAAAGAACGGTCGAGGGATGTAGCGGCGACGGTTATGATCCATGGAGCAACATTATCAATGGTTTGAGCGTTAGGACCCTCGTTTCCAGCAGAAGCAACAACGGGAATGCCTTTCATCACAGCTTGGAAAGAACCGAATGCGATGTCACTTTGATCAATATCAAAACTTGCAGGGGCGTCAGTACCAATTGAAATGGATATAACATCAACCCCATCGCGTATACTATGATCAATTGCTTTGAGCATATCAGGTGTTATACATCCAATTCCCTTCCAACATGCCTTGTACATAGCTATACGTGCATGAGGAGCCGCGCCTCTAGCGGTTCCTCCAGCTAGTCCATTGTAGTTTGCAGTAGCCACAAAAGAACCAGCAGCAATTGCAGACACATGTGTCCCATGGCCTTCAATATCTCTAGGGGACTTAGACTCATCATGTGAAACAAAATCATATTCCCCATTTGTGGATTCAAGAAGACCTTCAGTGAAGAACTCTGCCCCTATAAGTTTTTTGTTGCAATGTTTATTGGCGTCAAATCCATTTCCTGACACACATTTTCCCTTCCAATGCTTCGGGATCGGTCCTAGACCTGTGTCATTGAATGACTGTGACTCTGGCCATATCCCTGAGTCTATGACCCCAATAATAGCTTCACTTCCCATCCTGGTTTCATGTAGAAGACCTTTTGGAGAAGTAAGTGAAAGTCCCAAGTAATCAAATGTCCTTGTTGTTTTCAACCTCATTACTCGACTTGGTACAACAGAAAGAACCTCGGGATGCGCTGATACGAAACAAATCAGACCGGGATTTCATAATGTCTTATGCGTTTAATTAAACAGAATGAAAATTGAACTACCTGAAAGGTTCTTTGCTTGAGAGGCGGTAAGTTTCGCTGCAAAGCCGGAAAAACCATGCTTGTAATTGTATACTAAAGAATTCCTTGCAGCTTCTTTGCTATGTCACAAAATATCAAAGAACAAAATGAATATACCCTCAAAAGGATTCTCAATATTTCACTATAGCATCGATCAATATTTGTACCTTCCAAGAAGTGGTTCAAGAATTTGGTAATGTGACTTAGTAACCAGCTCAGGGGTATCATGTTGCTTTGCTCCCAAGTGTACAATGTGAATCTGAAGTCGATTATCGAAAAAAGAAAATATACTTCATATGCCACTTATAGCATTATTACTCAAAAGATGGAAAACGCAACATACCTTGTTCAATCCATTTGGTTGTGCCGCAGAGATAAACAAACCGTTCAGGATTAACACGAGACCGATGACCAGAGAACTTGTATCTGCAATCAGAAAAGAATTGTCCATTTTTCTTGAACAATGATTTTTCTGATTGCATAACAAGCTGCTTGGACATGTCTTTCTTTTGTTCCATATATAACAAACAATGAAACTAATTAAATTTTTATCAACAAAAACAAACTGATTAACTAGATTCTAAAAATACCATAGACGGTTATATAATAAACAAATTGCCATCAAAAAATATCTGAAATATCATATAGTTACATTGACTTACTCTAAGCTTAATTTGGATTTTGTTTTGGCATTGCACCTAATTAGTTTGCCAGAAGATTAACAGTTATTAGTAAATTTATTGATTATTTTACAAAATTATACAATATTTTTACATGTAAATTTGAATCTGATCAGATAACACTAGCACAAACTATTAGAATAATTTTCTAATGTTTTCTTGAATACCTATAACAAACTTATAGTTCGGGAACTTTACTCGTCAAGGTAGTTTTTTTAATTAAAATTTCTTAATTATATCATATTATTACAAACTACAATGTAATTAACCTTAATATGTTAACCTAAAAAATATGCTTAAGTTCATTATGGTAGCATGGTTTTGACAGGTAATGAAAAAAACAGTTTTAAGTTTTGACTCGTGTTAATTCTACACCAATAATTATACAAAAAGAAACAAATCCGTTTTTGTTCTAAACCATAAACCAGACTATTCCCAATTTAACAAAATTAGCTTGGTGTCATGTCCTATCTTCGTTGTACTCTAAAAAAAACTCCCAACATTCGTAACCAAATCTTTTCATCAATTTAAATACGAGATGACTTGAACACAATCATTATGCTTCTGGGATGCAATCAGAGAGGACATTGTTGAGGAGGTTCAAGAATTTTTAAAAATTATAATCTTGGAAGATTCTTCTAGGAAAAGAATCTACCTCAACAACAACTCCTTAAATCCCAGACAAAACATGGAGTTGTCTTCTCTGATTGCTCTAAATAATAAGAAGCATGTTGTAGTTGTGTTCATAGGTTTAGTATTAATCTTCAACATAGCCTTAATTACTGCTGCCAATGAGAAAAGCCAGGTTCGTTATAAATGGTCAAATTTGATCTTTTTTTTCTGCGGAATTGCGAAGAATTTCGCTATTTTAATTTCTTGATGATGTTATATTTAGATTTACACGGTGCATTTGGGTGAGAGGCAACATGATGATCCTAATCTTGTGACTGAATCACATCATGATATTCTAGGACCGCTTCTTGGAAGGTAATGAATGATGAGCTTTGGTATATGCTTTACAAAGATAATCGATGTTGCGGTAAAAAAAATTGGTTTGCGAATTTATATGTTTTGACTGATAATGCAGCAAAGAAGCTTCCCGTGAGTCTATGATTTATAGTTACAGACATGGTTTCTCAGGCTTTGCAGCGAAACTCACATCATCTCAAGCAAGGGAACTTTCTGGTAAATTTGAAACTTTTCTCTTGAGAAGACTTGTTGAACAAGAATTAGGTCAAACTCACAAGTAAAAAAAAAAAACCTAATTAATACTCTGCTTCTCTATTTTGGATTTGTAATAGAGCATCCGGATGTTGTTCACGTAACGAAAAGTAAGAATATGAAACTGAAAACAACAAGGGTTAATGATTACTTGGGACTCACTCCAACCGCTCCAACCGGTCTCCTCCATGAAACCGCTATGGGAAGTGAAGCAATTGTAGGAATTCTGGACTCAGGAATATGGCCAGACTCCAAGTCATTCAACGACAACGGTCTTGGACCAATCCCGGCACGATGGAAAGGACAATGTGTTTCAGGAGAAGCGTTCAACGCATCGAGCTGTAACAGAAAGTTGATCGGAGCTACGTACTACTCTAAGGGTCTCATGAGTAAGTACAACGGAACGTTCAACGCGGTAGAGAAAGGTGAGGTCATGTCCCCTCTAGACAAAATGGGACACGGAACCCACTGTGCATCGACAGCCGTGGGTTCTTTCGTCCCAGACGCAAACGTGTTTGGTCTAGCTCAAGGAACCGCGAGAGGAAGTGCACCGCGGGCCCGTATAGCCTCTTACAAAGTGTGTTGGAACAACGATGAGTGTTTCACACCGGATATTGTAAAGGCCATAGACCATGCCATCCGTGATGGTGTCGATGTAATATCGCTCTCGCTCGGATCTGAAGTACCAGTTGATTTCGAGGTTGATAGCAGGAGTGATTTCGCTATTGCTGCTTTCCACGCTGTTATGAAGGGAATTCCCGTAGTATGTGCTGGAGGGAACGATGGTCCTGACAAACAAACCATCTCTAATGTTGCTCCGTGGCTCATAACCGTCGCGGCTACGACCATGGACAGAGAATTCTTCACGCCCATCACTCTTGGAAACAATATAACCTTATTGGTACGTATTTGGTTGCTTGTATCACAAGTAACTGTGACAGTTCATTTAACTCTTTTGTTGTGGGATGTTATTCTCAGGGTCAAGAAGGTGTATACACAGGAAAAGAAGTTGGATTCACTGATCTTCTTTACTTCGAAGACCTGACAAAGGAGGATATGCAAGCCGGTAAAGCTAATGGAAAAATCTTGTTTTTCTTCCAAACAGCCAAATATCAAGACGATTTTGTAGAATATGCGCAATCAAATGGCGCTGCTGGCGTCATTCTCGCTATGCAGCCAACAGATAGTATCGATCCAGGCAGCGCTGATATCGCGTACGCCTATGTAGACTACGAAATTGGGATGGACATTTTATTGTACATCCAAACCACCAAGTATAAGCTCATCCTCCTTCACATTTATCTCGAAAATTCTAACTATGAACTTTTTTGATGTAATGAAAAGAATTTTCCTTGAATGATTTCCGTAGATCGCCAGTAGCTAAGATCAGTCCCACCAAGACTTTTGTTGGCCGACCTTTAGCGACCAAGGTTGCTAGATTTTCCTCTAGAGGTCCCAATTCACTATCTCCTGCCATTCTCAAGGTGGGATACTTTTTGCTCTCTTACATTCAAATTGTCTAGCACTTTCAGAATTTACTTTTTTTTATTAATTTTTTTTTTTTTTAAGTACAGCCGGATATAGCAGCACCAGGTTCAGGTATACTCGCAGCCGTACCATCAAGGGCAGGATACGAATTAATGTCAGGAACATCGATGGCTGCACCTGTCGTGTCAGGAATAGTCTCACTTCTTAGACAAAAACGCCCCGACTGGTCTCCTGCCGCAATCCGATCCGCACTCGTCACAACCGGTAAAAATACATATTATTCGAACAAAAATATAATTTTCTTGATCCACAAGAAACACCCGAGAATGACTGTTAACCATTTCAGCGTTGCAAACCGACCCTTCGGGAGAGCCTATTGCAGCCGAGGGTTCCCCACGCAAACTGGCCGACTCATTTGACTATGGAGGCGGCCTAGTAAACCCGGGGAAAGTAGCGGACCCGGGACTTGTCTATGACATGGGCCACGATGAATATGTTCATTACTTGTGCTCCGCAGGCTACGACAATACATCAATCTCAAAACTACTTGGAAAAATCTACACTTGCCCTTCCCCAATTCCATCAATGCTTGATGTCAACTTGCCTTCCATCACAATCCCATATCTTAGTGAAGAGATCACAATAACAAGAACCGTGACGAATGTTGGACCGGTCGGTTCGGTTTACAAAGCTGTGATCCAAGCGCCTCAAGGTATTAACCTTCAGGTGAGTCCTGAGACTCTTGAATTCGGTTCCAACACTAACAAGATTACCTTCACGGTGAAAGTCTCCACGACTCATAGAGCGAATACTGATTATCTCTTTGGGAGCTTAACTTGGACCGACAATGAAGGCCATAATGTAAGAATCCCTCTTTCTGTGAGAACAAGAGTTTTAAACTTCAAGATCTAACAAAATTATTAACATTATTGTATAATATTTTTTATTGTACTTAAAAGTGTATTATAATTTGTTTTCTTTCGGAGGCAATGTAAATGTGATAAGAAAGCCTTTTTTTATCACTGTGTTTGTATTTCGCACTTTCATTTTATTTACCCTCTACACTCATGATTTACCAAAGAAAATATAAAATAAAATTATAATACTTATCAAAAGAGTAAAATTATAATTTGACCTTAGGTCTAAAACGTAAACTTGCTATAGCCGCATATTCGATTCTACTGTGAGGAAATATTACAATTTACTAATTTACCGTGGTGGATTTTGCCGGAAATTTTTTACCAGGAATTCAGGGGAAATTAGGATATCCGCTACTAATAAAAAAAACAAATTGTAAAATGGGAAATGAAGAAAGAATAGAATACTTGAAGATGAGATGTAACATGTGAGGAAAAAGTGAAATAACAACAACCGTCCAATGAGCCTATGCTAATAATAGGCATATTTTATTGTTTCATCTTTTCTCTATGTCCACCAAAATTACATAAATTGACTCAATGCTCACTCGTTGCACACACATAACACATACATATATTCGGATTTAAAGTTGATTTTAATCTTGTTGAGATCAAAACGGCCGACGTAAAAGTAGATTTTGAGGGGTTCTTGATCGATTGAGTAGCAGAACCAATAAAAATAAGAATTTAGTTAAAAGTTAATAATAAAATCTATTATAAATTTATAATACATCGCAAAACATCAACCATCGATATGTATTCTGAGTTATTTCAAACGTGTAATATTGGACATTTTAAATAGTTTGGCTATGTGATGAATTCTATACAAATTAATTTGGTTAAATATATGTTATTGAGTTATATGTTTTATTCTTTCATAAATTACTTGCATAAGAACTATAAAATAATCATTGAGAGAAATCTATGATATTGAACACTATCTTCTAAAAGTTTCTATTATAAACATAGATGATATCTAAAAATAAATCTCTTCCCAATGGATAATATTTTCTGAATTTAGAACTAATCACTCTTACATATAAAGAAGACACAATAAAGGAAGAAGAGTACTTCTAAAAGTGATTCGCATCGGATTCTACCAAAGCAAACGACTGGTTTTGTTTCTATACAGAAGCAATCTTATAATTTATACATGTTACTTTTTATTTTAAAATAATTATTTGGTTTTATCCTGGATATATATGCATCATGCAATAAAACAAGAACCATTTGTTTGTTACCTTTTTATTATACCCTCATATTTCGTACCACTTCTTATATATGCACTAGAAAGCTGCCCACGCGATGCGTGGATTACATATTTAATATTAATTCTGAATAAAAATAAAATTTGTATTAAAGTAATATGTTCAATTATTAATATAGTTTTTTGAAAAGAATTTTTTAAAATATTAACTTTTATGTTCCTTTTCGAAGTACTTTTGTGAATTGCTAAAAAATAAATTTTGTTCTTTTTTTATTCATGGTGGTATGACATAAATATACGCCACTACTTTTTCTTAATTTACATAAAATATTTTATTCTGGAAATATATATATCATACCTCATCATAGAGTCTCTTGTTTGCTGATTCACGATCCTTGGATCGGGAAAACGGCCAAAATCAACTCCAACTATTTTTCTGCAGCTTTTTTCAACCCAAACTCTGACCCCAGCACTTATCAACCCGAACTCAGACCATTTTTAAAAAACAAACCTAAACTATCTAACTGTTATCCAATTTCAACATAGTTTTTTTTGTATTTGTTAATGTCGATTAGAATTGTAAAGTCGTAATTATCTGTTCTTTTATATTTGAATCATTCCTTTTATTCAATTGGCTAAAGGTTAAATAATTCAGGTTTGTTACATTATTTAATAACAGGTATATGTTAAAATTGGCTAACGATTACATAGTTCAGGTTTGTTATTTAAAATTTATGTGGGTTCGAGTTGATAATTAGGGTTGATATCGGCCTTGGATCTCATCAGAAGGTAGATCTTCCCAATCTCATGACTTTCTCTCGACAATAAGCTTTACATATTATATCCATATAATCCATAATAAAATTAGGAGATCAAAGGTAAAACATATTCATATTTATTAATTTTTTTGCTTAATGATATCTATATATGTTAAAAATTAAAGAGAAATTTAAATAATTTGTGATAATGATTAAATTTAATAAAATAGCAAGGTGGTCCAAATGAGCAAAAACATATTTTATATATGTTAATCTGGGTTTTTCACATCTCTTTCTCGCTTCTGACTTAGCACAGCTAGTCAAAGCTTTAAAATCGGAGCTTCATGGGATTCTCTTCGATATCGTGAATTTATCTTATACCTTTGATGTTATTTTGTTAGTTTCATTCCCCGTTTGCAGAATTCTGATGCGGATTCATTGGCAAAACAGTCTCTTGTTTCTCTTGTAATAGACCTGGCCCAAACCTAAGTTAAATTGAATCAGCATTTTTTTTTTTTTTGTCATCCGAAATTACTTAGAGCTCAAAAGAGCCATTCCTGAGGAATATTGTTTACATATGTGACATGAAGCGGTTCGGTACGAAATTTTCGTGCCAGATTATCTGCTTTTACATTTGCTCGACGAGAAATTAAAGATAAAGAAAAGTTTGTAAACTTCACCTTGTCGCTTTGAAATTCCTCCATATACACTGAGAAGGCCGGCCATAGAAAGTTGGCGAAGACACCATCTTCACCAGGTCAGAACAGTCTGTAAAGAAAGCTACGTCTTGGTTGTCTGCACCAATCATACACTTCATCGCCCAGAGAAGGGCTTCGACCTCTGTATGTAGGGGGGATAGACTTCTACGAAGGTTGGCAGCTCCCATGGTTGGCGGCTCTCCATTTGATGATGTACAAAACCATCATGTGCCGGAGAACTTATCACTCTCTTTCCACGATCCATCCACAAAACACCGGTAACCTGAGTAATTCGAATCAAGTGAGATATCCCTCCCTTGCGATCGATTTACCACATCCACAGAACCCAGTTGTTCATTATGAAGCACGATTTGGGCAGAGTGCCACAATTGTGCCTCTTTTTCCGCTAAACGTAAAACCTCTAAAGGATCTTTGTCTATATTATCAAAGAATTTTTTATTCCTTGCTTTCCAAATATACCAAATGATCCATGGAAAAGCTGAAGAATCAAATTCTGAAGGTATTCTCCAAAATAAATGATCCAAATTTGCAATTGCATAAACAGAATCTGTGGGAAGAGCACCCATAACCATTGGAATCTGTGAAAGTGCCCAAGTCTGTCTTGCTGGGTGACATTGAAAGAGTGTATGATTGATTGTTTCCTCTGAGGCGCCGCACCTTGCGCATTCTTTGTCACAATCAATTCCTCTTTTCCTCAAAATTTCCGTGACCGGCACACAACTCGCTAGAATTTGCCACAGAAAATGACGAACCTTAGGTGGGCACTGCACCTGCCACGACTGTGCTTTTAGGGCTTTGGTTTCTGGGCCAATAAAAGGTAAATGATTCAGCCTTTGCCCAAAAAAAAGTATACGTTACACTTAATTATAATCATATTTAATTTAGGAAAATGATTTCAGATGATATAATAAAAATTTTATTTTTGAAAGTTTATATTAAAAAAATTTAGTTCAGTTTAAAACTAACAATGCCAGGGAACAGAACTTAAAACTTCACTGACATGCGTAAATAGAACAAAACTACTTTAATAAATAGTGAAATAAAAATGTGTATATATGTAGGTCATAAGAGAACAAAACTTTAATAAATATAATGTAATGCCGTTTACCTAAATATTTTAATGACATGTTAGATTTTAACTGAATAAGTTAATTATGATATTCTATGCAATTACCCTTATCAAACATAATTCTTTTCAAAAATCCCATGAGCATAGAAAAAAAAAAAAAACCTTTGGTGGAACTTTTTAAATTTTTTGGTTGAATTTTTTTGGGTTGGTTTTATGGACTTTGATAAAAATAAATACAAATTTTATATTCTTTAATATGATCTTTATTTCTTACTTAATTTGTATGATTAACTAAAACAAATTGAATTCAAAACATAATCATGTCTTATGTTATACAATATTAAAAATCAGAAAACTATTTACTCGAGATATACGAAACTCAAACGTCGATCCCTCTCAAACGTTGAGTAATTATGTAAAAGAAATAAAGAATGGCATAAACTATTTGATTTTTGGGATTATTGTTGATTTTGCCATTTTTCATAGAAATCTTTTGAAATTGCCATTTTTACTAAAATCTTACGGATATGCCATTTTCTAACACTTAAAAATGTACGTATTTTGGATTTTTTTTTGTAAAAATACGTAGTTTATACAAAATACTAAACCCTAAGAACAACCACAACCGACTAAACCCAAACATAACTAATAAAACGCATGTTAAATCATATTTCCGTAACCTGAAAAAGGGCAAAATCCATAAACTATTCAAAAAAGGGCAAAATCCACAAATGCCATCCAAAAAATGGCAAATCCATAATTGATTCTTGATTTTTTTTTTGACTCATGGTCCTATTAGTTTTACGTATTCAAGAACAAAATCATCTTGAAAAAACTTTACGTATTAAAAAAAAAAAGAAAACAAACTCTTAACTTTTTGATAAGTGATGTTGAGAATAATTACATAAATGGTTTTTCAATTTATATCATAATTTTTTTAACAAACTTATGGTTTTCAAATGGGATTATTGTCTAAAATGCCATTATTTAGGAAAAACTTACGAAAATGCCATTTTTTGAATAGTTTACGGATTTTGCCCCTTTTTAACACTTAAAATGTACGTATTTTGTGATTTTTTTGCAAAATATGTACTTTATACCAAATACTAAACCCTAAGAACAAATGGAACCGACTAAACCCAAACATAACGAGTGAAACGCATGTTAAATCATATTTTTGGAACCTGAAAAAGGGTAAAATCTACAAACTATTCAAAAAATGGCAAAATCCACAAATGCCACTATAAAAAAGGGCAAAATCCGTAATTAATTCTTTTCAAATTTATGAATACATATAGATCATAAGAGTAAAAAAATTTAATAAATATAATGTACTGCCATTTATCTAAATA